TTTTTTTTTTTTTTAAAATTTGAGTTCAACATGCAATTCTTTGTACATTTAGAAGTGGTTCACATCAAAGTTAGAAGTGGTTCACATCAAAGCCTTTCTCATCGAATTCACCATTGTCTTAAGTGGATGGTAAGAAGTTACAATCCCTTCTCGAATTGAAGCAAATAAAAAATTTTGAGATAAGTGGTTCAACATAGTATGATGGTAGACAAAGATTATGAACTTAAGTTCATCGTTATAAGTGCTTATAAGTTATTATAATCACTAAGCAGTGAGTTCTAATAAAATGTGTGAATTAAAAGTGAGTAATAATTTTGGATTCTATGACATATGTAAATGAAAGTATGCTTAATCAGATTAAACTATAATTTAAATTTTTGCAAACATGAACAAAAACTGTCCATGTGTCATGCTTTGAAAAATGAATTCGGCTTATATGTGGGGCATGTTGGAAATAAATTTAAGTAAATAAAGCAACGAAGAAAAATGAGGAACGATAAGAATAGAAAAATCTTTTAAATCAATCTTCCCAAGGACCATGATGTCTACCCTTTAAATGCTTCTAATTCCATTTTTATTTTTCCCTTCTCCCTCATCTTCTATCTTTCATTTCATCTTTTACCTATATATATCATATAAGTATACAACCAACTGACAAAGGCAGCGTCAGACTGATTCAAGATGTCAATATTTTGGGCTTAAAATAATCATGTTCCTTGTCTTTCACGACCAAGTGGGGAAGGTTGATCACTATGTCTGTTGAAGACAGACAATTTCATATGTTTCGTTCTTAACAACTTAACTTAACCTTTAAGATAAGGTATGAGAGAAGGCAAAGACATATTCGTGTCTTGGAATCACCCATTTATAAAAATTGTGTCGTATCAAAGATTTCATGGTAAATTCCAGTGGCCTTCCAAGATATTGAGTCAGCTAGGGCGGCCATTGACCCTTGACAACTACAATGATAAAATTGTTTATTAATATTTAATTAAGTAATACTAAAAAAATTTCAATCAATGTATAAATACACTAAAACGTAAAAGTCATATACATTTAAAAATATAATCCAATACAACCAAAAACAATGAGAAAAATACATTTTACAACAATATATGCATGATCAAGTTTCAATTTTTTTACGAACCTAAGTGCTAAAGTATGATTAAATAGTAAAGACAAGCTCCGAGCTTAGGTGAAGGTTATGCAAAATTTTGAAAATAATAATTTTTAGAATTGAAATAATTTTTAATCTCAAAAGGAAAAAAAAAAAAAAGAAGGTTTTTTGAACTTTTAAAAGAATAAAAAGCAACACTTAGATTGTCCAAAATTGAATTTTTTAAAATAAATTGATAAAATCTAACAATAAAAGTGTATATATTATGAAGTAATAATTTGAATCAATAAATTTTTTAAAGAAATTATTTCAAAAATGAAAACTAATAATATATAATTGTTTGGTCAATATATATTGTATTAAAAATTAAACAAAAAATGGGAGTACATGTATTTAAACACCATACCTCTCACGTACGAAGTGACACCTCTACCATATGAACTATATTCCCTTTTTGTTTTGTACAATTATGAGTTAATATTTAGTTATTATTTACTGTGTTTAAAAATTAAGAGGAAGAGTACTATTGAATGTAATTGAACCGGTGTATCGTTGCGTGGAAAAGTGAATGCCCATCCATATAATCTGCACACCATTTCGTTCAATGTTCACACAATAATTAATATATATATATACACTTCAACTTAAATTTCTAGACGATATACTTCAATAAAGTCAAGATTAAAATTCACGTTGATGTTTGGTGGTAATAAAGAAAACTCGCATGATGTATTGACCCAGACTTATGGAGTGAGAAACAAAGAATGAGTTGTCTATTGTATATTCTTCTTGAATTTATGCAAAACAAATAGGGTGTTGACTTCAGAAAACGACTTTGTGTGGCCGAGCTATTTCTTGGAAAAATCGATTGTTTGCAACAGTCAAGCGGGACCCATTTTGTTTCTTAAATATAAAATACATGAGTTTTGCTATTCAAACTGGGTGAGCGACAGGGGTAAAAAATGGGGGGACACGTGTTAAATTTTCATTGGACAATTTAATAAAAACAAAAAGACGGGAGCCACACAGGCACTGTCAACGAAGCACCGTCAAAAGCCTATCACCTAACCCTATTGAAGGAGTGCTATTCGAAATAAATGACTATTTCTAACGAGACAGACTGAAATAGAAGTCAACATTGGTGGCTTTTGTAAAAATATCCATTTCGCAATTTCACTTTAAGTGTGACATGTGAAACATGCGGAGGACAAAATTGATGATTTAGAGGAAATGATTATCTACCTAATTTTCCCCACTCAAACGTTCATATGGTAGGTCATTAATATTATACTGAAAGAATTGCCCCCAAAATACATCCAAATCTCATAAATTTGTCCAAAAAAGCCACTCCAGATTGGGGGGGTTAATACATTGACTTCATTTATGGGCATAGATCCAAGTCAACCATGTCTATTTGTACGTTGATCATACACAACTTTTTTGAGTATCATTTTTCAAGGAAATTTGATCAGCACTTTGATTCAACTTGACAGATGATAAATTGATGATGATGCCTGAGGGTTGTACGATGCACCAAGTCCATCCCGCTTCTAATTGGCTCTAGTTGACTAGGAGGTTTCTGTGATTGTGCCAAGTAGCAAGAAAGGACGAAATCAACCAAAGCAATGGTGTTACCATGTGAAAGAATTCATATTGGTCGGTTTCTATATGTAATGACTTCTGAGGGCTTAAATTGAAGAAACTGTGGCTGCAACTGGCTACTAGTCACTACACAGTTTTACTACAACTACGAATTAAAGAATTAGTTTTAGTGATGGTTTTTAACAAAAAGTTTAATCTATCCTTGGCGAATATTAATCTTTGATCTTGCATAAAATTATTTGATTTCCATCGGCAAATTTTCTTCCATTGGGGAGATTAATATCTATTACTAACTACCAATTGTTTTTATATTGATCATAAAATTTGACGTGTTGGATTAAATAGTACTCGAAAATCAAGACTGAATCAATAAATACGTGACTTCTGCAACTATTGCAATCATAAAATTGCACAAAACTTGACGTGATTTGTGTTAATCCAATTCAAGCATTCAAATCGCTGGCTATATCGTTGCCGGTCGTGTGATTTTTGACTCACATGTGAAGTGTACAAAGAGCTGTATACAGAACCAACAATCTCAAAAGATCAAATCCTGGAGTGTTCAGTCCAAAATTTAACATTCTTTTTGTACCCTTCTGGAAATGGCTTTTGAGGGGTCCCTCTATTAAACTATACGTTTATACCTCAATTAAGGATCAACTTAATATGGAGTATATAGAGCATTCCATATTATGCATCAAGTTGTCTACCATTCATACTATTTAAAGTATTTTAGAGGCCGATTTTAAGTGGACATAAGCCTCCATTGTGGGAAAACAACAATAGTTGTGCGTTTGCTCTGTAAGGAACGTACAATTTAAGCAGCATTATCTATATATTGTCATTAGCACCTATGCAGTCAAGGCTAAGTGACAAATAAATTTAGATTTCAAAATGTTGTTCTTTGTATTTTCCCTAAACCATTAGTGGACCCTCACTATTTTATTAGCATACAATCAAATATTTCCAGCATATAGTGGAGTTTAAGATTTACTTTTTACGTAATTGCATTTGCACTAACGAATCTAGAAAGTGGCTTGAGTTTTTTAGTACATACAATTTAAATAAGTCATATACTTGAATAAAAATAGCCAAACCAACTAATTAATCAAGTGATATACTCGATCTCCATTAAAATTTATTTTTACATCAATGATTAAGTACAACAAAGCTAGTTATTTGTATGGGTTGAGATCTCACGAATTGATATTATTTTTAAAATACTTAGAAAATAAGACAATGGTGATAACTAGAATAGAAATAGAAACACTGCCATGCATCCCTGCACCTCTCCAGCCAACATCTTGTTTGAATGATGGTCAACACTTTCTTGTTTCCCTGAAGGGGCTTCAGATTTCAATATCAAACCAAGTCAAGATTTGGATATATAACAATCAGATTGATCACGTAAATTTAAATGTTTACTATACGTCTGAAATTTTCTCTTGAATCTTGTCACAAAGATTGTTGTTGTCACATACATCCATTTTCCAGCGTTATTCCAAAAGTTGAAGTAGGAACATCTCCAAGAATACTTGAGGAATAGAGTTACAACAACTACCCAAAATCCAGTAATGAAACCAAATGTCATGAAAATGTAAAAATCGTGAGTTATAAACCCATCATCTTCTTCAAAAATATTTTCCTTTCTGTGATCAGTCCCAAAACTATTAGAAATATATTCAGGACACTCCGTCAGTGGCTTTCCATACACAGAGGAGTTGATGCTTTGTAGTTGAGTGCCCAAAGAAATCTTTCCCGTCAAATTATTGTATGATAAATCTAAAACACTGAGAAAATTTAGATGTCCAAGAAAGCCGATTTTGAGACAAGTCAAGACATTCTAACATCTCCATTTGACCAATGTTTGAAATGATAGTTCCAATCAAATGATTTCTAGATAAGTTCAAGAAAACTAAACCCCTTAAAGCAGAAAACTCTTGAGGAATAGGTCCAAAAAGCTTATTTCCAGAAAGATCAATACCTTTCAGAAGTCCTAGTGTTTTGTATTTTGAATCTTGTCCTTTCTATTGAACAAATATGTTGTTAACATAAGCAGGATTGTGATGCAGGTAATATTCCCAATCATCATATTCAATTGTATTGTTCTTCTGAACCAAAGCAGTAATATTGTTTAAACACCGTGATATTCTTCCTGAAATATTGTTTTCAGAAAGATCCAAGACATGGGTACCGGAAAGGCAGCAAATTGTTGAAGGCATGATTCCATCAAATTCGTCACGTCGAAGGCTAAGAACTATCAAACTTGTTAAATGTGTTCCTATCCATGCCGGAATATTATTGTTAACTTGTTTCCTCCCACATCAAGCTTTCTCAGTCTCGTGCAATTCCTCAAAGTTGAAGGCAATTCACCAATGAAATTATTGTTGCGCAAGTGTAAAATTTCAAGCCGATCCAAACTGCCCAAAGTGGGAGGAATTATACCTGAGAACTTATTATTTGCCAAATCCAGAACAGTTAATTCACTTATGTTGATCCAGCAATTAGGAAGCTCTACTTCTAATTGGTTATCGGAGAGATCAAGCACGAGGAAGATTAAGGCATTAAAGTGAAAAATGGATCCCGAAAACATAGTTTTGGAAATTTTTAATTCTTCAGAATGAAAAAGAAATTATGGAATCGGACCTGAAAAATTGTTATAACTTAAATCTACAACATCACGAAGAATCAACTTCGAGGACAAATTAGAAATTTTACCACTAATATTGTTGTGTGAAGAATCTAATTGTACTAAAGAAGACATATTCCACAACAAATTAATTAGGTAATGCATCTGATATACCAACAAAAGAGAGATCAAGCGCTCTAAGAGTACTCTAAGTTTGAATCCAATTTGGAAAATGAGGCCCCAAATAGCAATGGCTGAGCTGTATTTCTGTCAATTGAAAATAAGGAATCCAATCTGAGCTCAAGTTGAAAGCCAAAGAGTTTAAGGATAAATCTAGGGATCGTAAGTTGGCAAAGTTTGAGAGGTACCATTCAGTGATTGTACCTTCCAACAAGTTTGAAGACATTCATAAATATTGGATCTTGGAAAGTTTCTCAATACCTTCAGGTAGCCTTCTAAATTGGTTGTAAGATAAATCTAATCTTTCAAGACTTGAAGGTAGCCCAGGGCTTTGTGGGTAAAACCCATTCAGCTTATTGTTGTTGAGGATCAAAGTTTTTAAGGATGAAAATTCGGTAACATCTGGCAAGGGACCGTTTAATTCATTGTATGATATGTCTAGATAATATAAATGACTTAAATTTTCCAAAGATTTTGGAACCCCCCCCCCCTCCCGGCGGAACGTATTGTTATTCAAAAAACCCCGCAGAACGTATTTACCCAAAACAAGCACCTCAAGAAAAATCAATTCCCCAAAGGCATCAGGACCCTCTAATCGATTATAGGATAGGTCTATGCTTGTAAGACTTGCACTAAAGTGAAACAACCAGTGGAATGCAAAAGAGGAAGTGAGATCATTGGAGATAAAATCAAGGATAGACATATAGGGTAAAGAAGAATTAGTAAATATATCGAAGGAAGGCATTGTGTTGGGAAGTTGACATTTGACAAATACAGTTCTTCAAGGAAAGGAAACCTTGTTATGTGGTGCAATAAGCTGGTTTGATTCATAAGGTTCACACCACTCAAGCCAAGATATGACAGCAAAGAAAGATGAGAAAGCCACTCAAGGTTCCTGATTCTCAAATCGTTAAAACCAAGATCAAGAGTATGCAGGTCTGTAAGGTTCCCAAGTTCACAAGGAACTTCATCAGTGAAGTTTGAGTCTAAAACTTTCAAGTGCCTTAATTTCTTGAAAGAACTAAAGAATCTGTTAAAGTTTGGGGTCCATCTTAATAAGGTCAACCTTGTTAAGAGGAGTGTCCCAATCCTTTTTATATATTGGTCATTGTTTCGGTATTTTACCGATGTGGGATTATATTCCCTTAACATGCCCCCGCAAGATGGTGGCTCTTTTGAGCAGACCAATCTTGAAATCCGTGTGCTCATTTTTAGAGACTTAATCGGATCGAATCGCTCGTTGGAGCTTAATGGGCTCTGATACCATGTTAAGACTTGGGGTTGCATTCCCAAACACCCCGACTCGCCGACAGCGCCTCGTGGTGCGGCAGGGTCCGAGCACGACGGGGCTCTCACCCTCTCCGGCGCCCCTTTCCAGGGGACTTGAGCTTGGTCCGCCGCTGAGGACGCTTCTCCAGACTACCATTTGTCTCCTGAAAACATATGTTGACAGGAAACGGTCCCAGTTTACCTTATATCAAACCATTCCCCCAGGGCAAAGGGCTGATTACCTACTCCTCCATCCATGGTCTTACGTCTTTCTCTGCCAAAGGAGTTTCGAACCTTGTACCTCTGCGATCGCAAGCCTTTCAACTTGGCTCTGATACCATTTTAAAGTTTGGGGTCCATCTTAATAAGGTCAACCTTGTTAAGAGGAGTGTCCCAATCCTTTTTATATATTGGTCATTGTTTCGGTATTTTACCGATGTGGGATTATATTCCCTTAACAGAATCTTGGTATTTCACTTCTTCCAAAATCATTATGACTCAAGTCAAGATATGAAAGCAAAGAAAGATGAGAAAGCCACTCAAGGTTCTTGATTCTTAAATAGTTAAAACGAAGGTCAAGAGTATGTATGTTTGTAAGATTCCCAAGTTCAAAAGGAACTTCACCAATGAAGTTTGAGTGTGAAAGATTCGAGTGCCTTAATTTCTTGAAGGAGCCAAAGAATCTTGGTATTTCACTTCTTCCAAAATCATTATCACTCAAGTCAAGATATGACAGCAAAGCAAGATAAGAAAGACCCTCAAGGTTCTTGATTCTCAAATCATTAAAACCAAGGTCAAGAGTATGAAGGTTTGTAAGGTTCCCAAGTTTACAAGGAACTTCACCAGTGAAGTTTGAGTTTGAAAGATTCAAGTGCCTTAATTTCTTGAAGGAACCAATGAATCTTAGTATTTCACTTCCTCCAAAATCATTATGACTCAAGTCCAAATAATTCAAATGCTGCAACTCAAGCAGTGTAGGGCTAAGCTTAGCAGCCTTCAGGTAAAAATGATCGATCAACGGAGGTACATGCGATCGAGTGAAACTACATGAGCAGTTCTGTTGCTACACGAGATGCCCTTCCCTTTGCAACATTACTTTTAAAGTTCTTCACTTCACTAGGATGAGATAATGCCACGGTCGTCAACAAGGCCATGCTTAAATTTGAGAAGAGCTTGTCTTTCCCTGTCTATGCACCTAACTTCAGCAGCAAATACTGTAGTAAGTTTCATGCATAGTGAAAGTACAAACATAAGCACACTCAGTATTTTGATGAATCTGTTAATCTCCATAATTTTTTCTGACGTCATGTTCATAGTAATTGAAAAAGACTGAAGTTTTTCAAGTTCATGCAATCATATTAAATATGAAGCCGTAGAGGATGTATGTCCCACAATGAAGTAGATTCCACTAAAATTTCTTCTAGTGTGCATAACGGGCTATAACATTGGTCTTCATAAACATCTATTCATGGGGCTTCAATTACAACACAATGTCACTATAATCATGGATACGTTAAACATTGAAATTTCTGATATTTTAAGTTGAATCTTACCTATAATTATTGTCAATTACGAGATTAACTATTGTTATTATGATATTAACCACTACAAAGAAGTCCCTAGTGAAATTGTCTAGGTTATGTAATCTACATGACACAATCCAACACAATCCCTGAAGTCCCAAGTGAAATTATGATATTAACCACTATAACTTTTAAAATAAATATAGCACACGAATTAATGAAAAAAATTTAACACAAAATATAAAAAAATATAATTATTTGAAATATTCAATTCGATGAGTTTTAAGCTATTTAGGAAAAAATGTGGTACATATTGCGAGAGCGAAGGTATATATTTCCTAATTGAAGCTTTTGAGCTACCAAGTAAATTTGAAAAAAAAATGGTTCAAATGAAAAACCAAATTTCTTGTAGAACATAACTAGTTATAAAACATTGTTCGTCACTCAACTTATATGAAAATTCGTGTTGGTTATCAAACTTTATTTTGTTTCGAAATAGTCATTAAGTTTGACCACTCAATTAAATTGCATTAAGTATTCTAACAGAATGTATGATGCGTAATTGCTCCACGTTAGATTGCTATCTACCACGTCAGGCATTCTACTAGAAAACAATTAAAATTTAAACAAAGATTCTACTATTATTTTTTTTTTTTTTTGTTTAAATTTTTTAAACCCGTTCAAATTTTTGAATAAGCTTAACGTCCTTGCTCTGATATGTTGTGGCCTGCTGGTTTTGCATTGACCCTTACCTCAATTTTACTATTACATTTTTTATATGTTGGGGGCTTTGCATTGATCCTTACCTCAATTTTACTGCTACACTTTTTTGAAAAGAAATTTTATTTATTCGATTTGTTTCACAACTAGTTTGATCCTAAGTTGATCGTTGATTCTTTGCCTTTTGCTTAACATATGTTTAAAATATCGGGCTCTCAATTTTACAGGTAAAAATGCAATAACTAAGAAATGGAGTTGTTGATGAATCTTTTTGTCCGCAAACATTTTTAGAACTAAATGTTACATTAACTAAACTGTGGGTATATATTCTTCACCATTTAAGCAACACTAATTCTAGCATCAATTGTAAAAGTAAGTTTCATGTAGATATTTACTTGGAAAGTCTTGACTTCCACATAATTCATTTTTTGAAGAACAAATTTCCACAAAATTGTTCTTTTAGCATGGAATACATGTTTTCCATGGCTATATTTCATATATCATTTAGGACATTGAAATTAAAATTGTTATCTGTGAATTAACTACTTATCACAAACTTGTCCAATTTCTTTTAAAATTATTTATCCGTGAGTTAAGTTAGCTAGATTTTCTGAATGAGCTTAACACTCTTACTCTGATATGTTGGGGGATTTTACATTGACTAACGAGCTTGTCTATTACTAAGCAGAATGAGCTGCATGTGGCCATGAACCAGTATTAACAATGATCAGGCCTATGGATTTATGTGCCTACAAATTATTTCAAGTGCATTTTGTCAAGTGAGCTTTATATTCCCATGTAATATTCCACATGATTCGCTTTATGAAATAAAAGTCACTTTCAAATAAGGATGACAATTCGCTCTATCTAACCCGAGCTTTGCCTGTTCGGGGCGATGTGGCGATTTTAGGAAAAAAAAAATTGTTCGCTTCATGGACCTTTTAGTTGTTTCATTGCAAGAATTTTCCATGGAATTCATTCCCCCCATGTTGATTTGGAGGAAAACCAATTCCGTTGATTTTGGTGAAATTTTGTTTTCCAGCCCTTTTTTTTTTGGCAATTGGAAAAAACTATATCCCTTTAATTGATAATTTTCATGGAAAACAAAGCCAAATAACCACCAAAAAATCCAAAATTTTAACATTTTTCACGTAGAAAACTATACCAATCAAACACATTTAATTGACAATTCCCAATAAAACAAGTTCTAGACAATTCAATTTCCTGAAATTCTTTTTCTTTCCACCAAAATTTCATTCTTACAATCAAACGGACCCTAAGAAAAATGAGCTACGAGAAGAATAGAAATTCTTCCCAAGGACCATGATGTCTACCTTTAAATTTAGATAATTTGGTTCAACCTAATATCGTGTTAGGTTTTAGTGTATTCGCAATTTTGTAAGACAAAAAGACTAAAATAAAGAGCTGTAAAGGTGAAGAAGTATGGTGCAATTTTGTATAGATAAATTAGGTAAGTTAGGGATCGAGTTTGGAACAAGGAAGAAAAATAGCAACTGGATTTATGCTAGCCGATCACCCATCTGATGCTCGAGCGGCAAAAACAGAAACTATGTTCCTCATCTGTCACTAAGCTCTCGCTCAAGCGAAAGGATTACATATAAAACCTACTTAGCATATTTCAAGAGTTTTATTTGGCCCATACTACCTAAATGCATCCAACTATAAATACCCAAACCTAAACACGAATTGAAGGCTGGTTGTTTCATTATATAAGAATAAGCCAATGATTTTTTTATTTTTTTTCTGTTTCATAATACAGTTAACCAACACATTAACTAATGGATTATGATAAATTGGATCGAATTTTGCTCCTCTCCATATATTGCTTAAGAGATTCAAGAATACATTCATCTTTTATGATTCAATCATTTGACTCTTGAATTCATACAACCATCTTTGGGAAGATATCAAAGATTTAAAATCCAAAACACCCACTTCCTTAACACATCAAGGAAGTACTTTCTCAATTGGTTTCAGTGATTGCTGAAGATTGAAGGAGGTTGAACTACAAGCACAGAAAGTGTACAAGAATTGGTATTTTTAGTGATCCACATGAGATAGACAATTGTGGAAGATCAGGAGCTGGTGATTTCAATGGGTCTTGAAGATTGTAGGAATTAACGAGTCTAGTTAGCTAGATTGGATCGGACTGTAAATCCATATTGTCTATAATGGAGGTAACTAGCTTAGTCCTAGAGTTTTTACCTAGTTAAGTTACTCCATCAACAATATTGGTGTACTTTATTGCTTTTAGATTTATTGTTTGTGGTTGATTAACCATTTAAAAACAATTAAAAAGTGACGTCTTGCTTTTAATTTTATAATTCCGCACGTAAGGTCAAAGTAAATCAATAATTAAAACTTTCAAGTGGCATCTAGCAAACTTTCATAATGGAACAAGCAAAAGATCATTCTTTCTTTTTTCATTTAATTGAGACCCATCTAGATTTTCTGAACGAGCTTAACACTCTTACTCTGATATGTTGGGGAACTTTGCATTGACTTACGACCTTGTCTATTACTAAACAGAACGAGCTACATGTGGCCATGAACCAGAACATTTTGTGACAGTGTCTCTTTCTCTTGCTACATCCTATTTTATTTGATCCTCTTCTTCTCGCCTAGAAGAGTCACCGACTCATTCTTCTCTAACATGCTTTCACTTATTTTCCTCTTTCTTCAATGACGGCAACCTTTTTGCCCAAACCTTGCTCTTTGCGCGTAGAGTTTGCTTGCCCTTTCTTCATTGTCTCACTTAAGGTTGAAAAAATGGCCCTCTTAATTTTAAAGCAAGAATATTTGCAATGAAAAATGGTGTAATATGTTATTTTTTACAGAAATACAGGCTATTTATAGATTTATTTGTGATCAATCAAACATTCTAAAAAACTCTTTAGAATGGTGGTGACAACCTTTCAAAACGAACAGAGATATATGTTTAGACCAAAACCATGCATCTATTAATAGTTGTTGGTTACATCAGTCATAGATGTC